AACTGTTACTTGCCATTTCATTAGTTATAACCTTTATCCAGAGTTTACAAACGTGGCCGTACATAGTCGTAGTATACGATCTAAGCTAACCTCTAAGCTTTTGGGCTACGGACACTTCCTATCTTTTAGAAAAGCGGGAAGCGGCAGTGAGGCGATAAGGCCACGGCGCTTTTGGTGGGTTTTCGCGGTGGCTTTGTGGCTGCCGGCTGAAAATCTTGTCTGTGTAGCTTCTTGTTATGCTTGGACTACAACGTTGTAACTTCAATTAATTCATTATAACGATGGCAAGTAACAATGAAGAACATAACCATCTGGGGCCATATCTATTTCTCCATGTGGTCATATCTCCAGATGGTTATGTTCTTCATTGTTACTTGTCATCGTTATAATGAATTAATTGAAGTTACAACGTTGTACTCCAAGCATAACAAGAAGCTACACAGACAAGATTTTCAGCCGGCAGCCACAAAGCCACCGCGAAAACCCACCAAAAGCGTCGTGGCCTTATCGCCTCACTGCCGCTTCCCGCTGAGAACTGTAGAAGCGAGCGGGCTACAAATATGGCAATGAGCGGGAGGCTAAAGCTGGCAGCGGGCGGACTGCTATGAGGGCCTCAGCGGGAAGCGAAAGTGGCCGCGATGAGGCCACCGCGCTTTTGGTGGGTTTTCGCGGTGGCTTTGTGGCTGCCGGCTGAGAGCCTGTGATTGTCTGAGGTGTTGTAGAGCAAAATTGCGCAGTTTTGGTCTTTACTTTTTTGAAGAGGACAGCTATATGATTTCTGACGAAGAAATGTTTTTTCTCTAGACTTTTCAATACATGATCAAAACATCAAATGAAACATCCATAAAATGTGAAGCAGGCTGTGATCAAATTTACTGGTGTGCAGAAAAGCGGAGTTGCCAAAGTTGCCATCACCATAGCTCTTTTCGCAGCAGACGCCTTGAGTGAGAGGAGGAGGTAACAACCTTTAGCCAATCAATATCAACAATCAATCCTTCTTCGCACCATATAGCATCAAAATTGCATCCAGGAGGACTCTAGCACCTTCGACTTAGTGCTACACTCATTGCTCCACCTACCCATTATCTTTTTTTGTGGAGACTAATGACTAAACACTAATGACAACTAGTGCAATGACTAAAAGTTTACAAAAATGAACGGTATAAGTTGAGCTATAGCACTGTTACGGTAATAAATAAACATCAGCGATATGGCCTCCCCGTACTCGTCATTAATCGGTACTAGTCAAATCCAACCTATAAAATTCAAATCGTGTAGGTTAATAGAGTTTCCGACAACAATTATTTAATGTGTTTTAAAAAAATTTCCATAAATGTCCTGTTTAAAACTTCTAAGAAAGCGTAAAGTATATTTTTTATTCAAGCACTTTAGATGAAAATTAAGGAATTTATTCTCTTTGCGTTTCGAACAGAGTTCGACAAAGAATTGACTTCATTCGAGTTGGAATGAAAATTTAGACTATTACTGCAGAACCCAATACTCTTTTGAGTTAGCAATCATAAGATAATCATATGTGAGAATTATTCCACGAAAAATAATACGTTCTTTTAAAATCATTCGAATCTGAATTTTTGTACTTACAAGAGGATTGTTCGATGTGCCGTTTCCATACGATATGTATGATGCCTTATAGAGCATGGAACGCTGAGCTTAGATCCACTTTCAGAATTTCCATAACTCCCCTCCAAAGCGCTTTGGAGAGAATGGAATACAAAAACTTGATCGCTCCGCTATAATAATGTCATTCAGAATCTCAGTCTGTAAGCTCAAATGAGGGCATGATTACTACCAGGACGTTTTATGGAAGGCGTTCAATATCGATCAACATATGTTAGTCATTACTTCTTTAAGCGCCGGAAAGACCTCAACACCTATTTTTATCTTAGCCAGATCACTAAATTCTTACCTCAAAAATTCCCAGACTCCCCTCAGCCATTTCATTGAATTTTCGCCTCAAAAACAGAAGCGCTTTGCAGGTACCGAAATTAGATTTGGAATCAGCGTTCCATGTTTTATAAGCTAGTGTACATTTCATATGAAAGCGCCACTTCAATCAACCTTCTATTGTTAGATACTTAGATGGCCTTCACTTGACGAGCGGACCCAGCACAGAACTTTGCATTTTCCCTCCTAGCTTTAGACATCCACTATCTTCTTGGTTGCCGTCGGTGGCTGCGTCTACGAGTTTCAGGTGCGATAATCGTATCCAGCTGGTTTCTCAGCTGGTCCATCCGTTCCACGAACACGTCTGCCCATCTCGTTGGTGGTCTTCCTCGGGGATGTTTGGCTTCGCGAGGAATACACTCAGATGTTCTTAATGCCCATCTGTTGTCTGTTCTTCTCATGATGTGACCGGCCCATCGGTGCTTCGCTTTCGCAACGTAATCCGCTGGGTCATAAAGACGAGATAATCACCTCATATCCGTATTGCGAAGCCCGACAAGGTGTTGTCTGTGTCGGGTCATCTTTAGAAGACTATGCTCTAGCGCTCTGTGGGTGGTCCTTCAAACTTTCCAAGTGGCTGCGGTGTCAGCCCAAGCCTCAGCGTAGCAGAGCGCCGGAAGAACGGTTGAGTCGAACAGGTGGGCACGAAGCTCCGGTTCCGTCAGTTGGTCGGTGGCTTCCTTCAGAGGCCCGAAATCAGCCCAGGCTGCTTTTCTTTTCCTAGTAAACTCTTCCCTCAGGTTCTCCATGTTCATCGAACGTCCGAGATACACGTAAAAAGAATCTCCATAAGGGTACCTTCCAAGTCTTGTTCTGCATTTTCGTAAGGGCGTTCTTCATCAACTGGGTTTTCTTCCAAATTATTCACAAGCCGATCTTCTTCACGACTTCATTCAGCTTTAGCATCGTCTCTGCTTCAGTGATACTGCTTGAAAAGAGGACAATGTTGTCCGCAAAATCAAGGTTGGACAGAATTTCCCATCATTTGGTATGCCTCTCTCGTCCCAGTTCAGTAACTTCACACCTACTGCAAAACCGCGGTGAACAGCTTCGGCGAGAAGTGATACCTCGTCGAAGCTTCTTCCCTTAAATGGAAAAAAGGCAAGAGATATTGTTGCTGCGCAGTGCCTGTGGCATTCGGTTAGGACGACAGGCAACAGTACTTCCGACAGACCGGTCTAACTCCCGAATCGTATGAATGTGGACCATACGATTAAATCCACTGCAAAATAGGGATTGTTCTTGGGGTCGGGCTTTGTTTGGTGTGGATATGCGAGCGAGAATAATTTTCGTGAAAAGCTTGTACAACAAACTCGGCAGGCATATTGGAAGGTGGTTTTGAATGTCCTCCGTTTTTCTTCTTTAAAAGAAGAACGGTTCTTGACGTTTTTCAATGATCGGGAATTTTTTCCTTCTGAAAACAAGATGTCAGGTGCGACGCGAGAATTTCATTTAAACTTCGTCTTCCGGTTCGCAGGAACTTGACGGAAAGATGGTCCCTGGAGCCGTTGATGTCTTCATTGCGCCAGTTGCAATGCGCACTTTAACAGGTAGAATTCGAGGTGATACTTCTTCAGTGTGGGAACAACGAGAATCGGCATTGAGCGGGAGAAATTAGTGTAGAAGTTCTTCCCAATGAAAAATTCCATCTTATATCGGGAAGAAGTCGGAGTCCCTTTTTGGATCAATAGGCAGCCATGGCACGTGACATTTGCAGAGGTTCCTTCGACACTTCTTAAGATCTTCTTCTTTTGAGTAGTTCCTTGGTGGTTTTCAAAAGTTCCAAGTTCTTTACAAAAGTCACAAAGGCCCACTCTCCGCAGGCTCGCAATCCTTTCAGAAGCCAGTCGTGTGTATGTTAGGTCTTCCTCGATGGGTCAGTTACAACTTGATATGAGCTTTCCCAGACTATTACTGTCATAAACGACATTTTCTTCTTGCGGCACTGTGGCAGGCGGTGATCGGAGCCACTGCAGAAGGATGGAACTACTGAGACACCGAGCAAGCTCCACCTTCGGTTGGTGAGAGCGTGGTCGAACTCTGCGTGAGTCGTTCCGTTGAGCAATTCCCATGTCCATCGGCGATGTTCTTTCTTCAAGAAGATGGAATTTCCATAAAAAAGTCGTGCGGCGCCAGAAGAGAAGCCTCACGAGACGGTTGCCGTTTTCGTTCCGGAGCCCATATCCAAACTTCCGATTTTAAATTCTTTTTCTACTAACATCCAAATTTCTGCGTTGAAGTCGCCCACAACAAAATTGTAAAAGAACTCTCGTTGCCGACGACCCCCTCCACGTCTTTCTAAAATCAACTAGTTTTCTGATTTGTCAGCTGCTGATGTTGGAGAGTAGCAGTTGATGATGCTGATGATCTTCTGACTTGCAGGTCGTAAGCGTAATATGGAGATGGCTAATTGGGTTAGTAGGATCTCATGCGAATCGATAAGACGGGTGAACAACAAACCCAAACCCCTAACGTTTCGTGATGGATCCTTCTCACCACGAGTGATGAAGGTACTCTCACGCATTTGTCGCACGTTCTTCTTCCTGGACTTTGTTTCCTGCAGAGCGATGTTGTGGTAGTTGATGTGCTCTGCAGCGTCGAGAAGAGCGTGGAGGCCGGCGTTTGTGGAAACTGTCCTAGCGTTATAGGTGCAGAGCACAGGCATTCTCCATGGCGCGCCGTCCGGGCAGACCTGTCATTTTTGTCCGATGCAAAGGCGCCCTGACTAGACATCGTTCTTGCTACCAACCGGCGCCATAGGCGAGATTCGATGTGCAGGGTTCACTCCAATTGTGCGTCGTTATTTGTTCTCTTGAGAAGTTAATAAAAAAGATTCAAAAGATGCCAAAACTCGAGTACAACAAAAAACAGTTTTGGTTATTTTCAGAGAGCTTGTTAGTAAAAGTGCAATGCAGTCATAATCATTTGACGGAGCAAGAAAAGTTGTATCGGATTTTTGCACGATGTTTAGCTCACTTGCAAAAAAGCGAAAACTATTAAAATTATCTATAGAAATGTGTCTGAGATATACTTACAGCTGTGTTGATTTGTTTGATAAGCGTACTCAAATCAACGGCTTTAACAGCCCATTCAACAGCAGCTCTGCTTATTGTAGACTGTACCATGTCTCGTACTATTGTTAGATTGGCTGCTAGCTGGGTTGCCGATGCTTGTGACTCTGTAAAAATTTATTTGTTGAATTTACAATACAACCGTCAGAGATACCGTTTCGGAAAAGCTTGAGTGAACGCACATCCCATTTTGCTGTATGATTCCATCTTTTGCTTTCGCATGGCCTTGAACAAATGTCATTTGCTCCGTTGAGCTCATGCAATATCGCCACAGTCTCATACACGGATTTGATCATCATGTCGTAGTTCTGGAATAGCGCGTAGCATGCTTCAAATTCTCCTAATACCTTTGCGAAATTACGTTAAAAGATTATCACAGACCTGAAGTAATATGGCATACTGCCAACCCTGTAATTTAGAGAGAAGCTTGAGGCAATCGTAATGAGCCTGGTTCATATTACGTCCTCCGCTGTTAATGGAATAGCGCACTAAATACTTCAATAATATTGTTTACCATTGTCGTTCAATTGCAGAAGCGTTTACGAACGAATATTGTCTTTTCTACCTCATAAGAGACGTGTAAGATAGAATTTTTGACACGTGGCTTAAATGGTTGTAAAATCGGAATTTTGTTTATTGATTGGTCATAATTGATGCATTTTCTCACGCTACTAATGCAGGCTTTGTCAAAATTGTGGCAAACACAGCACACGATAGAGAAAAGTGACTACTACAAGATGACAGTTGCATACTTGAACAACAAGTTCGATTTGTTTGAAGTTTGGAAGCTTTTTATTTTGGAAAATAAGTATTTAAAAATCCAGATCTTCGCCTAAAGAGATTATGCGAACTTCCAATTCGATCAGGCAGTATTGTTCAATCACTAAAAGCTAAATTAGCTTTTTTTTATAAAAACTCAATAAGAAAAGCAACTAAAAGTAAAAATATGTTCCTCCCCTCGGTTTTCATGGTAAACTTGGCGCTCTTTGTTAACTGAGAGTTTTTTAGAGCTGAATGTTTCGTTGTACTTGCAACAGTGTGTCGTACGTTGTAATAATAGCCTAACATCTTTCCAGCAAAAACATGCTTTCGTGAACTGAATTTCTAACGGAAAAAGCAGAGACTTATATATGTCTTATGGGGCATGTATTACACGGTCGCTTGAACGGAAATTGTTGTAGAGCCGTCCCTTATATTGGAACTTGCTCGCTCACTATAGGCTAAGTCGACATGGTCTCTGTGGTTGCGGCGTACCCGCCGCACCTTGATATATTTGGGTGTGTTGTTCTCTAGTTATTCCTAGCGAACCCTCGGCATGTACGCCGATAGGCAGAGGGGGAACTCTTGTGTTTTTTAATAAATCGTCAACGACTCAACGCGTTCTACTACAATTGGCGATCAGGATCAAGGACAAGAAGACCTCCACCGACCGAGGACCAGAAGAAGCTCCAACGATCAAGGACCAGAAGCCTCCATCGATCAAGGACAAGAAGAAGTGCTGCAGCTCAAATCGAGGAGGAAGCACCACTGGTCGAGGAGCAAAGAAGTAAGCTTTACTACGAAGTTATCAATTAAGCAGAAGACTTCGTCGACACCAGAGAAGTCTACCATGCCGAAAGCCAGTGAAGAGCGGCATGGCGACTCTCTGGAGAAGGTCCTGTCGGTCATGGTCGACCAGATGCGGCTCCAACAGGAAGAAATGAAGCTGCATATGCGGCTTCAACAGAAACAGATGCACCCGACTACAAGATCAACAGGAGCACATGCAAGCCCAATAGTAAGCCCAGCAGGAGCAGATGCAAATGCAATCGCAAGCTCTACAGGAGCAAATGCAAGTGCAATTGCAAGCACAACAGGAGCAGATGAAGACGTTGGTCACTGCTTTGACCAGTAACCAAAGGGTAGCCGTCGAGGATGCCAGCAAGGAGCAGTATGACCAGCTGAGCAAGGACGTGCAAAGATTTACCTTAAACGAAGAAACAGGTAACACCTTTGCTTACTGGTATGGCAGGTACGGACCGGTCATTCGCGACTCTCAGCTTCCGGATCAGAAGAAGCGCGACTTAATCCTTATGAAGCTGGATGAAGAAGCATACCGGAAATATGCCGATGAGGTCCTGCCTGCGCAACCGAACGATTTGGACTTCGACACCACCGTAGCAAATCTCCAGAAGCTGTTCGCCTCCAAGAAGACGCTCATCAGAAGACGGTATGAGTGCCTGAGGATAACCTGCCTTCCGCTTACGCCAGCGTACGTACCGTTTCGCGAGTACTCCAATACCATCAAGATGGACGAGGATGCACGCCTCAAAGAGCTCGACTACACGGCGATGAAGACGCTGCAGTTTGTAGCAGGTCTTCAGGAGATCCCTCACTTAGGGAACTTCGCCTTCGGATGATTCGGCGACTGGACGCTCACACGGAAGAAGCACCGTTGACAATAGAGGATCTCGTCACGGACTGTGAGAAGTTCACTGCCTTGAAAATGGATAATACAGACATGGAAGGCACGCGCAACATCCACGCTGTATGAAAGAAAAAGGTGAACTGCTTCATATGCGGAGGACCACATTTCAGAAGAGAGTGCCCTCAATCTGGCAGCACTGTCGGAAGAAGCGACGGAGGACAGGCGCAAAACACTTTGGTCGCAAAGGACAGTGCAAGAATGTGGTCGCTTTCGACGCCGAGAGCGCGCGGACTTACCTCAACGTCGTAGTGAGAGGATGTTCTCTCAAGCTCCAGCTGGATACGGGTGCAGACATAACCCTGATATCACATACAGCTTGGAAGAGGATGGGATCGCCTGCTCTGGAATCCTGTGTGATGCCTGTGAAAACCGCAGACGGAACGCCGATGCAGATTCATGGTAAATTCTCAACCGACTTTTCCGTTAGAGATCTAGTTACAGGGAAGATGGTCTATGGAAATGGCACATGCTACGTCACCGAAGGCTCGAATCTACTAGGACTGGAATGGTGCATCCAGCTGCCGACATACAAAATGTTGAATGACACCTACCATTGCAGAAAGGTGACCAGCGAAGAGAGATTCCGAGCCGAAGTGGTCGCCGATTTGAAGAAGAACTATGCGGAAGTCTTCAGCAGCGACCCAGGAAAATGCACGAAGAATAAGGCAAAGTTAGTCTTGAAGAGCGATGCTGTTACACTTTTCAAGAAGAAGCGACCGGTACCCTACGCTTCAGCACCGGAACTGGAAGCCGAAATCGATCGCTTGGTAGCCGAGGGAGTCATTTCTTCGGTCGAACACTCAGAATGGGCCGCACCGGTAGTTGCTGTCAAGAAGAAGAACGGAAAAATCCGTCTATGTGCCGACTTCTCGACAGGATTGAACGATGCATTGCAGTTGCATCAGCACCCATTGCCCACAGCGGAGGAAGTGTTCGCAAAATTAAACGGAGGCCAGCTCTTCACACAACTCGACTTAGCCGAAGCTTATTTGCAAGTGGAAGTCGAAGAAGCATCGAAGGAGATGTTAACCATCAATACACACAAGGGATTGTATCGTTACAATCGCCTACCATTCGGAGTGAAATCCGCTCCCGGTATCTTCCAGCAGATAATGGATGCGATGATAAGCGGATTGGAAGGCGTAGCCGCTTATTTTGATGATATCATCATCACAGGCAAGACTTATGACAGTGCAAAAACTTAGAATCGTTGTTCAGGCGTATAAATGTCGAGAGAATTGAGATGTTTTCATCGTCAACTACAGCTACCTTGAAAGAACTCAGGTTATTCGCTCGATTTGGAAATCCGCGAGCAATCGTGTCGGATAACGGAACTCAGTTCACAGCAAAGGAGTTTCAAAACTTTTGTGAAGAGCGAGGAATCCAGCACATGCGTTCGCCCCCATTCCATCCACAATCAAATGGACAAGCAGAAAGGTTTGTGGATATCTTCAAGAGAACCTTTCAGAAAACTGAGGGAGGAACGACAGAGAAGCTTGCCGAGTTCCTGCAGTCGTATCGACGAACGCCTTGTACAACTGCTCCACGACAACGTTCACCTGCCGAACTGCTGCTGGGACGTCAGATGAGGACACCGCTGTCGCTGTTAAATGAAGATTCCAAAGAAGAAGGAAAGATGGGCAACGAAACCATGGAGAAACAGTTTAACCGCCGCCATGGAACACGAAGGAAAGCGTACCAGCCAGATGAAGCAGTGTGGGTACATGATTTTCGCTCTGCATGTGAAAAATGGATTCCAGCACGAGTGAAGAAACGCTATGGAGAAGCGCTCTATGACGTGCTTACGGAAGATGGCTAGTTATGGAGACGTCATGCGAACCAGATGCGCCGCGCCGCAAGTACGGATCGACATCATGACTCAACACCGTCCATCCCCGACGAAGGCCGACGTAACAATGGTATGGATGCTGCTGAACACCAAGCCACCTCGTCTACGTCGCCGACATCAAGCAGACCAACTCGCCATCGTCGCCCACCAGAGCGTCTAAAAGTAGATCCTTATTGTAAGATGTACCGTTGTTCATCTTAGGAGGGAGGTGTTGTAGAGCCGTCCCTTATATTGGAACTTGCTCGCTCACTATAGGCTAAGTCGACATGGTCTCTGTGGTTGCGGCGTACCCGCCGCACCTTGATATATTTGGGTGTGTTGTTCTCTTTCTCTAGTTATTCCTAGCGAACCCTCGGCATGTACGCCGATAGGCAGAGGGGGAACTCTTGTGTTTTCTAATAAATCGTCAACGACTCAACGCGCTCTACTACAAAAATCTATACCTATTTTTTTTTTGATTTTGCTTTCAAAGTTCACGTGGACCAATTCTTGCGATTTTTCAAATGCTATCTTGGAGTTATTTTGCTTTGACATGCGATTTTTTTCAAATTTTCGTCTCTTTGCCTCGGTAGCTAAAGGACTCGCGTAATTTGTAAAAGATTTTCACATATAAATACTCATGTTATGTCTACGTAGCAGAGTTCAAAAACTAGAAGTGGCTTACGACAAGCAAGACTCAGCAAGAACTAGGACACAAAGAGAAGTCCTCGTTGGTTTTGCAGAAAATGCGGCATTGCCTTCAAAATACTATGGAGAAAAAAGAACAAGATCAAAAGATGGAACAGGACACACGATGAACATTGAACGTAATGAACAAAATAGAAAACGAACAAAAGGAGTGTTGTTCGTATTTTCTGCACTGACAGCATTCTTCGGCGAGCACTTTGGGGTTAGAGCGGGATTGAGCAAGCAGTCAAGACTATTCGAGGGCTGTAAGTATTAACTAGCCGACACGAGAAGGCTTGAAGGCACCGTCCGTGACTTAAAGGTCTTAAGCTTTTTTCAGCTTACAATCGGTTTCATCCCGGATTAGGGAAACATTCTGCGAGGAGGAGCGCGTGCGCATCGCTGGAGACTTCGCGGGTGCACAGCGCTGGCATTTTGCCAAGCAAAAACTGAGGAGAATGAAGAGACTCAGACCTGGGTTCTCAGCACGATATGATTTACTGTAGCTGCAAGACGGCGAGGCCGTTGCGAGGCGGACGTTCGCCAATCCGATTTCCGCCTAAAGCGAGTCGAAACTTACTGTGCAATACTAGAACCCCCTTCCAAGCCAATGCTCAAATCGCAACGCATATTGCCGCTTCGGAACAGCGAAAAGGCGTGAGGACCTAAGTTGACCACCCGCCCATCCATGCGCGCCCATCCAATTACCGTTCCGGAGAACCAGCCTGCGGCTTTTTCGAACAGGGACTGTCGGGGTTTCTGCCGATTTCAATTTGTATTCGAAATCAGGGACCTAAGAAACCAAAACGTGGAAGTTCACCTATTTCATGAACATGCTAATAAATTCGCACGTTTGACTGGCGATTTAAGTTCCCGTTTCCCCCACGCTCGTGGTGAGAAAATGATAAGAGAGCATATTTGCGAAAAAGGTGCAGAGTCAAGGCGAGGCGGCCGCGCGGGAACGATTGCTTGTGCACCCGAGCAATTAATAAGTCCTGTACTTCTGTTTAGGCCACCTCAGCTGCAAGGTGGCAGGTGGGCCAATTAGCTCTTACAAAAGTTTGCTATTCATTTGCTTCACAAGACGTCAGAATCTTTCAAACATCACAATTCAATTTCATATCATTGCATATTTGTTGCAAACAAGCCAAATATTCAAACAAGAAACGGCTTTGTATATCCACGTTTCCACTAAGGGTACTGTTGCCTTTGCAAAAGTGGACTGATAAAAGAGGAACCTTGCGCGTACAAGATGAAAAGATAGAGTAAAAAAGAGGGTGAGAGATTAAGGGACTGTGAAATATGACGTGCGACATGAAAATCTTCTTTCAGAAAAGAGACAAGACATCGTTGGATTAATAGGAATGTAACACGGCTCTTTTGATTGTAAAGGTTATGATTCTGGGCTAGTAATTTTCTACCAAAATGAATCGAGTGCAAATCTAGTGACCCAGCAAAATCGATATTTTTGCGCTTTCCTCTGTACAAAAACCCGGCCTGTCTATAGTAGGTTTCAACTCAGTTTAGGCAGAAATTGGACTGGAGGAAGTCGGCTTCGCAACGATTCGCGCCGCTCGCAATCTGCGTCTCTTCATTCTAATCTATCCGCTGAGCCAGTCGCAGTGCGGACGCGTTGCTCCACTTGGAATGTTTCGCCTACTCCGGGCTGGAAAAGAGTGTAAGTGCCACCTATGCTGGGTCCTGCGAATAAGATTGCACTTTCTGGGTGAATCTCATCTGAAGGACATGTGCAACGCATACGGAAAAGTAAATGCCTGTCGCTACACCTGTTTTATTTCTCTGTGTCTGATGCTCTCAGCCATAATTCAGTTAAGAAACATTACAGAATTCTAACTCGAGAACTCAATAAGCTGATCAACGCAGCTCATTTTTCTTTTTGAACTTTTGATAATGAAACCTACTTGGGTTTATGATCACATTGGGTAGACAATTCGAAAGCGTAAATATCTTGGAGTACAAATCTTCTTTGGCTTTCTTATCAACCGAGAAACAGAAGAAATTCTGCGGGTGGTAACTGGATCGTATTTCGTCTTCAATAAATTCGTAACTCTAAAATAAGTAAGATTTAGGTGATACACAAATAAATTTGTGGCATTCTTGTAATTGACAAGTTTCGTGACCAGATATAAGAGCGCTCTTTAATGGGATTAAGAGTAGGTGTAAAGGTGACAAATATTCTGGTTATTGACAAGAGGTTGCTCTCTGAACTATTTTGTAAACACCACTACTCAATGAGAATTATTTTTTTTGCTTTTAGCAAAAATACAATCACCATTGAAAGCATTAGAGTTACTGGACTGAATGATTTTCATTGGCGTTAGCAGTGTTCCACAATAGCATATTAATCATGTCAATTAAACAATTTTTTAGAACAGAGGTGCATCGTAAGAAGAAAACCTTTCCGAAAAGTCTGAAAGCATTTAAGCGACTAAGCGACTTAAGCGACTTGTAAGTCATCAAAAACTGAAGCTAACAAAACCGAGTAAAACACAATTCTTTCAATTGGAATAGGATGCGTCGGTTGAAAGCCAGTGCCTCTGGATGAGGGTTGAAGGTTCGGTCAAGTAAAGCTGAGAGGAGCTCGTGCATTAATATGGCACACCACATTACTTTTTACCGTGAACTTCACTGCCACAACACGCGTTGAGCAAAGCGGCGAGATGCTTTATAATGAAAAAAAAAACAAGACACAAGCCAGACAAAAAAATGAGAGCAATGAAGTTGCCATTTATGGAGCAAGATCAGCTCTACAAATTGACTACTCGGGATATCGCGCCACTTGAGCTTCTGGACTTTGTTCTAAAATTTTTGTAGCTAACCGTCTTCAGTTCAACTTCGGATCAATGTACGTTCCTACGCTTTCCATTCGCAATTATGACGCTGTTAATATCCCTGCTCTTTGGAGCGATGTTGTATATGTAAAGAGGAAATCCAAAGCAAGCTTTCTGTAATTAAATTCGCCCATTTAAAGAAAATGGTCTCAATGTCACCAAAGAAATTTCTAATTCGAATTTTCTAAGCTGTTGTACTAGGTTATTCAGAAAATAATGTCTCACCACGGACTATCACGCAGTATTGCGCTATGGTTAACTTACAAGGAAAGCGTGCATAGTCGAAGTGGCGTTTCTAAATGAGACTCACACGACTTTGAAGAGAATTGCAGGTGGCTCCAAATCTGCCTTCCAAATCTGCCAAGCGCCTCTGTACGCTGAGTTATGAGGTGAGGTTTTTTTGGAACGGAAAATGGGTGCAAATCAGCGCTCAGATAAAGCAGTGGTAAGTGTTAGCATACTACACAAAATGCATCCGTTGCATGAACTGCTCTGTTACTCTACACCGGACCATTTGAGCAAATTTGGGCGATTTTGCTACAATTTTGCGTTCAATTTTTTGACTCGAAAAATGTCCACAACTCGGCGTCCCAGATAATGAAGGCAGATTTGAAATCATTGTTCAATAGTCTTCAAAGCAGTATGTTGTCTCATCTGAATAGGCCACTTCGACTGTACACGCTTCCCTTGTTAGAGAAAAGTGAAATGGTTGCTATGCTATAAAGCAAAGTAACTCTACAAAAGACTTTTGATTAGTCGCAAAATTAATCTACTTGAAATTTGAAGACAAATTCCATGCTCTAAGCGCATGAAAGATTGAAAAATCGTTTTTCCAAGGAAATATAGATATCTTCTACTTGCTCATGCGCAAGCATTTTTATTTCAGATTGAAAAGTCGTTTTTCCAAGGAAATATAGATATCTTCTACAGGGTGTCCCAAAAAAAAGTTTAGAACGTTTGATCGTTAATTTCTTTCTTCCCAAGAAGTCTTTTGCCTTGCTTCAGGTACCGTTTTGTAAAGCTGGCTTCAACTTAGATTTCCATTATAGAACGAATCACCCATCTCTCTTCATACTGTAGGGTTACGGTAGAAACTTCAAAGAGGGTTTTGAACCATGAAAGGCCATATTTTGCCTCAGAAAGGAAACAAAACAGCCTGAAAACTTCTACACCAGGCTAATAGAATTGCTGATTTTAACTGTAAAGTTACCAACTTATTATGATGCTTCATTGAAGAGTTATGCCAGGTGAGAGGTAGCGGCCTTTTTTTCAATGTTCCTAAAAAGTGCGATTACACCGTTTAGAAAGCTTCGTAATCTTGTGAATAGTTGAGTATTGAACTCAGCGTTTATAAAAACCCTATTACACAAGTTTTCACAATTTTTTGAAAAATTTTGAAACGGCAGCTTTTTCCACATTGACACCATATGTTTCAAGTTTCTATCGGTATTCCTACAGTAATGAAGAGGGATGGGTGATTCGTTCTATAATGGAAATCTAAGTTGAAGCCAGCTCTACAAAAGGTACCTGAAGCAAGGCAAAAGACTTCTTCGGAAGAGAGATATTAACGATCAGACCTTCTAAACATTTTTTGGGACACCCTGTATTTGATGCTTGCTACATCAAATACTTCTCATGCAAGTTTCGTAATCCTTAAGGCTATGAATCGAGATTACAAGTTTAACGTCTGACCCTTTTTTAGTCAATTGAAATTGTGAACAAATCTAGGATTTGGAAGTATAACCATAATTTTCCGTTCCCTACAAGCGTTAGGATTCGAGAAATGCCAAGGTTACTAGCTGAAATGGCGTCATTTTCGTATTTTTAGCCTATCCTTGTCTTCCTCATTCTAGTCAAAGATGAATCTCACGAACTGTGCACTGTAAAGTCGTAACTGTAACTGTAAAGTTTAAAAGGAAAGGTACGTTTTCGTACATTCAAATTTTTTAAATATTTTAACGACCTCCAGTTGGGAGAATGTTTCCGCTGATGTTTGTACTTGTTTTTGTAGAACTTACTTTGTTTTGCCAACTGGTATTTTAACCATTTTTTGGTGTCTATCCTGCTCGACGCAGGATGCGATGCCACGTTATTTTTGTGAGAATCTAATACAAGCCACTCTTTTGAATCTTTTGATATGAATAGATCAACATGCATTTCATAAAATCACGCTTTTCCGTACTAAACCTTTTTATGAACATAATGCAGAATGGTACTTTGTCCTGCTCTCTGAGGATGTTACTAAGGACCCTACAGCTACAGTGTACTTTTTGCGTTCTTGCTTGCAAAGAATCCATTTGTCTGCGCTATATCGCTTTTTAAACCGCCGCAGCTTTGAGATGGTCATCCGATGACACCGCTTTAGCTGTTCGAAATTTGCTTCTGATAATGCTTTGCTTTGTGCGAAATGGATGCGCAGAAGAGTGAAACAGCGAATCTAGAGCGTAAGTGCGAAAATTAGGCTTGCAGAATCTCGGCAGCGTTTAGTTTGCGATAGAACATACGACAGAACCTGTAAGAAAAAGTTTGCATCACCTGCACGACGAAGAAGTCTGGAGATTGCATGTGCTCCTGTTTGATATATCTAAAGCTGCGTTCATACTGATCTTGAAGTTTGGGAACAGTTCCAGCACAGCGCTCAATTCGAACACTGTGCTGGAACTGTTCCCGAACTTTGGGAATCAGTATGAACGCAGCCTAAGAACACTTTTACAAGTTGCGCAAGTCGCAGCCCGTCTAGGTGTTGTTTCCATGCGCAAAGACGCTCAACAGTCCTAGGCGCGTGCAAAAAATTGAAGGTCTGCTGATATCAAACAGGAATTCACAGACAAACAGAAAGTACGAGTGCATCGCCATAACTAATAAGCTCGCGCCGTTCCTTGACTCATGCGGATTTAACCTACTACCTCCAGTCAAAAACCCTAACTCAGTCAGTGCATGTCACTCGGTGGTTGATGGTCTCGAGCTCAAGTTTAATGTGGACGGCTTAGGTGTTATTTCATACAATTTCTTGCCTTTTTCCTGCAAGATGAAAAGGCGCTTGGGCAAACAGATCCCATAATTCTCAGTTACAGACTTAGTTGAAGGAGAATTGGCTATAACGGTAGGCTATAAAATATTATATCAATTTTGGTGAACGCTCAGGCTCTAACAAATGAAATATGATTAAAGATTTGAAGATTTCCATTACTTTTCGCACATTCACTACCAGGCCCGTTTATCATCAAACGTACGACTCCGCGCCCGTTTCCATATTTTTCGATCATCAATGGGTCGTATGGTACGCAAGGTAGCTTAACAATAAAATAGAACTATAGACTTTTAGCACAGAAACAAGTAGTTTCTAACAAATATTGCGCAATACTTGCTGTTAACACATAAAAATTTACATTTCAAAACGAAACTAATTTTATTTACTGCAATTTGTCGAAGAAAACGTCTGGGTAGAATAATATACCAGTTTAACGGGACGCTGATAATATCTTGAAGATGAGAGCTGTCTTCATTCGCCCTTGATGATTCTTTTTTTCCTGGTAGATTTTTTCATACCTTCACGGTAGCCAAAAAAAGTTTGCTAAGATTTGGTCATTGGCTTGATACGAGTACTTTCAAAATTGTGAAAGCATGAGAAAATATTATCATAGAGCTGATGTTATTTGAAAGTAAATCATTTATGCATTTTATAGGTTTGTTTGGAACCAGCCAATGCGGAGAGGATAAAGAAGATATATCACTACCTCGTATACAATGCGAGCATGAGCCACTCCAAACTCTAACTTCTTCAGACTTCTCGGTGGTAATATACGGGCCTTTACTTCCTTGCAGGTCATGTTCAATTCGCGGTTACGTAGCTTTATGCGTTTGAGGGTGATGTTCTTGATGTAAGCCTATAAAATTTTTTGTATACCCAGTTTGCATAATAGCGCTCAAACTGACCTTGTCTCCATCAAGTATTCTTCCGCATGCAATGTGCTGCGTTTCAGGCTTTCGTCGAAATACGGGCAAGTTATCGAGTCTTGAGAAAAAATGGCGAATTATCCACTACAAAATCAAAATAACTGTTGAGGTCCTCAACCTTTGCTTCCAAGTTCCCATTGAGACTTAAACAGAGTTGAGCAATTAGCTTTTTTATGTACGAATCCGACCACTACATACAGGGTGCGCCACAATTATCTGCGCGTGTATCGTTAAGCGCAATACGAATATAAGACCGGCTCAGCCAGCAGTCAAGCTTGATATTGTTTTCTTGCTTTTATAATATTGTGTCATACAAAGGAAGGATACTTGGTCACCGCAACCATTCACAATGATTTGTATACCAAAAAATGCGCCTTTCAATGCTGGTTTGAATACTGCCTTCCATATCTGCGAAACGATTTTGGATGGAGTTATGATTATTTTTCATAAACTGCGTTACTGCGGAGGGTCAAAATCATCAATAAAAAATTTTCTTTTCTTCTCAAATGCTGAATATGATTTAGATAGGTATAATACAACAGTATTCCTTTTGAGATTTTCTTCAGTAGCTTCAAATGGTGACTTAGAACAAATTTGGTGATTTCAATTACACAAAAGTACGCAGATATCGAGCACAGATTTGGAATCAGCGCTTTAAGGTGCATCTTACAGCATAAGTCGCATTTCAAATGGCCACGATGACCGAGTATCTTTTCCTTGCTATGAAGAAATGTAAAATTGCCTGCTTTGCTTCTCGGTAAAAATTCATAATATTTCTCTAGCTTTGTCACGTGTTGCACGCGGGTAAAGGCTCACGAATTTTTACCAAGCGTATATCTTTTTAGTGACCTCCTCTCTCAGGTAAAGATTTCGCTATATAATAGAGCTAGTATTAGACTTTAAGATCACTGAGGTTTGGTATCTTTAGGAGCATTCAAAACAAAAATTTTGACTATTTTTAACTTGCGTCAGCTTACGTTTCTTCTGTAACAAACATTGCTTTTTGCAATCCTTACTTCTCTAAACAAAAACCGATTTGGGATCTTGGTAATGCCTTTAATAGAGTATGCCTGCGGCATTCTGTGACATCAAATCCACACCAAATTTCTCATTGCCTTTGTTGTCGCATTACTTTGAAAATTTTGGCGCAAATAATTTTGGCGCACTCTGAGATCTGTGTCTTTGCCTTTATATGCCTTTTTATATTTCTCAATGTTTAATCCGATGTACAATGGTCAGGCGGTTTTCGTTTTCTTTTTTTTCATTTGATCGCACGTGTAACTAACTAAAGTCCTGAAACTTTGTGTTCATGTACCTGCATTTTTTGCAACATGTATCCATATAACAGTTTTTGTAGATTTACGTCTGCTCTGCTTGTGTTTTAGATGAGTGGAACAAAACGTTTCATTTTCGTTCAATCCATGTTCCCTCGATTCGAATAGATTACAGTGTTTTTCTCAAAATTTTTTTGAAAAATAAGAATTGTTGCAAAAGCAATCTCTTGGCTGTACAGTGTATGTTTCCGTATATATGTAGCTATTGATAACGACTTTTTATTCCGAGAACTGACAAAAATTTTCAGGGAACATCCAAGCAATCTGCATCTAATTGTAAAATCACCCAAACTATGTGTATCTTCTTGCGTATGTGTGGGGAGGGGGAGATCGATTGAATCTCTAAATCAAATAACTCCCTTTTTGCACTTTAAATAAGCCAAAAACTCTTAAATATTCCGATTTTTTGCCTGATATAACTAGAAATTTCTCAATGTTCTCCCATTCTTAAACGTACAAGCTCTACTTCTATTGTGCTGACCTCAGTCCTACTCTCAAAAAAGTCCTGACAAGTTCGCAGTACTCGAATTCTTCAATCGTCAACAAAAAATTCAGTCCCTCTTTACTCTAGTAATAAACTCTGATTTAAAAAACTCCGAAAAAGGGTGTTCATATATACAACTACAGCTAGCACATACATCCCCGGAAAGAGAAGATGTTGTAAATTTCGTATACCCAAAGCTTTATATCTTGGTATTCTAAAAATCGTCTTTTCTTGTCTTTCCAAAAAATCGATTATTCTTATCCGTAAGCATGGCTACATGGCAACGACGTAAAACAATGCGATTGACCCCTTCCAAAAATTTCCTGAAGAACCATCCACTCGAACTCATTCATATATTCGTAGTGGGATTGGTTGAGCGAACTTCCAAGGTTGATAACACTTCTTTATTCGCTAACGTTTCGGCGCTTTCGCCTTCTTCAGAGCCTGCAAGCCGAAAGTATATGAACTTACTCGTCCAGACGTCAACAATAGATAAAGTATCATTCAAGAACAAGGCCAATGCTAAACAAAACCATATTCACAAGCACAGTACTCACCTTAGATAGCACAAGACGGAAGTCCGAGGACCACCACTATACACAAGACTCAACCTCAGCTCTTTTATACGTGCCTGGATGACCCGGCCTCATATTCGAATCCGCATAGGGACTGATAAGGCGCGAGTTCTCTCTTTATGGCGGTACACTCCTCCTTCCGGTTTATTTTTGGATTTTTGGCGCTAATCCAAAACGCTTCTAGTATTTTGCGCGTAAGGATCTCGGGTTCTAACGACAAGATCTTTACAGTAACTTGTATAGGAGCCCCACCATGGCGCGTTATGCGATGTTCCCCTAGTGGCGTAGCTGCTTTGAGCTTATTTAAACCATCTAAATGCTCTTTAACGCGACAGCAAAGCGGACGTCCTGTTTCGCCAATGTAAAAGTCACCGCATGATAAGCATGTAATGAGGTAGATAACCCCGGCTAGCATACAGTCCCCACATCTACCATACGGGCAAACCATACAGTTTGGAGTGGTACATATGCGGTCATAAGCTCGATTGCGAACCAATTGGCGTTTGAGATTAGCGGGAGGAATATCGACCACTCTTACCACGCCGTGCAAACCCGCCTGCTGTACGCCTCGCCGCACTGCCCTGCTTAATTCATCAGAGATGAATGGCAGACAGAAGGGGATCTCGTTATCAGTGCTCATACCATGGGCTCTGCTCCGAGAAGACCCGCGTGCGCCACGGTTGTGCTCAAGTGCGGCATAGCCATTGGAAGCAGCAATCCTGTGGGCCAAGGCGATGGAGTACGATCGTTCGTCGCTGCCGGAACATACCTGCAGAGCTGTTTTGTACATGTTGCCCACAATAGACCGTTTGGTGCTATTTGGATGTGCAGACAAAGAATGCACCAAGATGTTTTTACTGCTGGGTTTGCGATACCACTTAGTTTTGTAACTGCCGCCTGCTAGATGGATCTGCACATTCAGAAACGCCAACCACCCCCCAGTAGGCTTCTCCCTGGTGAAAACGATGTTTGGTGACTGCTGGTTTAATATTTGGAAGCAAGTATCTACTTCGGCTTGAGTTGGGCATATGACGCAGCAGTCATCTACGTAGCGACCGTAGAGCAGGGGTTTTCGCTGCAGCACTGGCGCTTCTATTTTAAACATAAAAATGATTGCCAAAGTAGGCGCGAGACGTTGCCCCATTGCCAAGCCTCTAATCTGTTTGTAATATTGGCCCGACCATCGGAAGACTGAACATTGCAAGCATTCGTGTAGCAGGGTCATTATTCCGTGGATGCTAAGACCGTACAAGTTAAGAGAGGCTTGGTGCTCAGATAGCAACTCGAAGCTAGCTTGAAGTGCAGCATCATTGGATACATTGGTATACAGCGATGTAACGTCGAATGATTCAATGACGTTCATATACTATAGTTCATATACTTTCGGCTTGCAGGCTCTGAAGAAGGCGAAAGCGCCGAAACGTTAGCGAATAAAGAAGTGTTATCAACCTTGGAAGTTCGCTCAACCAATCCCACTACGAGTATCCACCATGCCAAGGTTAAGAGACAGCCGAACCTGGACACATTCATATATTCTTGAATCCGTCAAAGCAGAAGAACTGTATTAATGATCCTATCTTACATGCCAAGAATGCCAAAAATTTTAGCATTTACAGCAAAATTACAGTATTCATATGTGACTTCTTGGAGTGGTAGAGCCTTTTTACTTTGATAGACAGCAAAGACTGCAACTCGTAGTTATGGAGCGAAAAAAGGATATGAAGCATTTCTTTACGTCTCACCTCCCGGCCGCCATGTAGCAAAGGAACTTAAGTAAATAGTCAGAAAGGGGTCCAAGAGCTATAATCCTTTCTCAAAGATGTGCTGGAGAAAGGCGAAAAAAAACCTGTATTGAACGTAAATCAGCAAATTTATCTTTAAGAACTCACATTTTTTAAGTAATCTAGTCCGTTTTCGTCGTCACCTAAGCGAACGTTTGTCAAACTGTCTCGAGCAACTATAATGTATTTTATTTATTCATATACAGGGCTTATCAATTAAAGTGTCGGGTACACCAGCATCTCCACTCTTGCGCTGAACTCTGCGTCTCTTCCGCGGAACATGCTCTCTAATCACTTCCAATCGATTGAGGCTCCGCCTTTCCCACTCTCGTCCTGGGAAAGTGCTCAGAGAGCATGTTTGTGGAAGAGACGCAGAGTCCATCACGGAAATGGAAATGCTGGTGCACCCGACACTTCAGTTGATAGCTCTGAATTTATTGTACTGTAGGCAGGCTAATGATGTGCTGGATTATTTTAAAGCATCTTATTGTTAGGCTGTTGTTAGTCAGTTCATGTCTTTGAAAGTGCCAGCAATAGGAGCTTGCAAAGAATTTGAAAATAGTTGTGAATTGAGGATCTCATGTTTTAAGCTACAGCCGTCAGCGTCGCTTGTCAAAACTGCGATTTAAACACAATAATGCGCTGGAAGTGCCGCACTGCCATAACATTTTTTAGGTTACGCTGTAAAACTCCGGTTCAAATTACCGAAACCAGCATATCTGATGCATCTGACACCATGTTTGAAGATTTAAAAATGCACATTTTTTGTGCGCGGCGACATACGCGATGTTGCGTCAAGGGTGTTGCACGGAAATAACTTCTTACAAAGCTAATTTTCGTCTTGTATTTGGAATCAAACTGCTTTGCGTCGGAAGTGCTGCATTAATATAATTGTCATAATCCTAAAAAAATTTTGTTCGCATGGTTGTCATCAGTGTCTTTCGAGCTGTCCGTTAACGTTTTT